GGCAGCAGCAGCAGGGCGGTGGGACAGGGTGAAGGCACGAAGGAGCGGAGCGGGGCAGCAGCATCACCGCAGGGAACCGCGAGACCCTTCCAGCATCCCCATCCTGGGAGTGGGGCAGAGCGGGACAAGGAGCAATGGACAGACAGCAGGATGAGAGAGGTACAGGCAGAAGGTCCTCAGATCAGTGATGGAGGAGAAAGTGGTTCTGGACTTCAAAACCCACCTTCTGTCCCTTGCTGCGCACACAGCCACACCGGGGCTCAGCCACCGGCGGAGCTCGGGCAGCGCTTCGGGGAGCTGCTCCCACCCCTGGGCTCCATCTGGGGCGGGAGGCAAAGGGTGGACACCAGCATCCATCCTCCCGCTGCATCCGTCCATCCTCCCGCTGCATCCGTCCATCCTCGCGCCGAGCGGCCGCTCGGTCCCACCTCCATGCAACCAGCCAGCAGCAGCAATCAGACATTAAATAACCCCAAACCTGTTCTCTGAGAAAAAGGAGATTAGCGAGGGCCCGGGTTGATTACAGTTTTACTTACAGGGGAAAAGAGCCTTAACAAGAAGTTGTAGTTTCCTAATTAGCCATTTGATTTTCCTTAATTACCAGAAGAATAGCAAGGCAGAGACCAGCTCCATACAGCAAAACATTAAATGGAGCCGAGAGACGAGCTCTTTGCCACAGCTCAATTTTTCACTAATAAATGAAAATGCAGCTCCAGAGGGAAGGGAATATATAAAACGGGGCGTGTTCTCTCCCTCCAACGGTCTCTGGGGACAGCCAGGACTCGCCTGGCTGGGCAGGAATTTGGCCAAGCCACAGATCAGCCCCAAGCATCTCCGCTGAGCTTTGTCAAAGCACATTAAGTGTTTAGGTCCGATTCTGGAAAGGTGCTGAGCGCCCTCAGCCCGGTTTGATCGCAGCAGAGGCGCAGGGCAGGTCTGCCCCGGGGCTGCTTGCTGCAGCCCAGTTCCCAGTGGCCACACGCCACTGGGCCGCCAGGTTCCCGCGGGCAGGTCCTTCCCCACTCGGGCTTCCAGCAGCCACGTGCCCGGGAGAACCCAGAGCAACCGCTCGAAGGAGCTTCCGCTGTCGGTAATCCCGAATCTGTGCCACGCAAGGAGCCAGCTACACCCCGACTCGCTGCGGGGCGGGCGGCCGGAGGGCTCTGCTGGAGCAATTAAAAGCCCACCCTAAGAACCGGAGGACCTCAGAGAGCAGAGCAAGCGCACACCAACAGCTCGGGTCCACGTACCGCCCAAACAGCCAGGGCTACCACAGGGCTACCACACGGAGCTGACGTGACAGCGCTGGCACCGTGACCGCGCCGTTTCCAGCGAACAAGAGTGCTCGGTGAGGTGGCAGCTGAGCGCTGCCAAATGAAGGCAAAAGGTTGATGCGACCGACGCCTGACCTTGGGAGCGGAGCAGAGCTGCACACCGGGAACGCTCTCCCCCAAACACGCTGATGGGTCCGGCTTTGTCTGGAGACTTACAACCATCCTCATGACTGGATGTCTTCTCCTCTTGTGTCCATAATAACCTGACAGAAGCTTGAAAACACTCATTTCCCCTTCCAATTCTGCAAATGACAGCCGCTCCTTTCCTAACAAAGACGCAATTAACAGGGCTCGCCCGCTTTTCTGGCCGTGCGTCGATTGTCCTGGACAGGTACTGCACGACCAAAGTCACATGAAAGACTGCTGAAGTTCTGAAAACAAACCAAACATTCTGTGCAAAATTAAGGGAACTTTTATTTACAAAAGAGCTGCTGGTTCAGTGAGAGCCAAACAGAGGGTTTGGTCCAGGGAGCAACAGTCTCGTGTTCCTGCCCCTCCGGAGAGGGAAGAAACGGCCCCGTTAAAACACAGACAGGTACGACGGTGAAGTCTCCCATCAGAGGGGCAAGTTTCCTCAAGAGGCGGAGAAGCGCAGGGAAACGGGGAGTAACCAGCCCCTGCTGCGCTTGCCGAGCAGCCCGTAGCAAAGGATGCACACGAGGTACCAGGTATTTGCTCCCCTTTCATCGGGGACTTTGTCAGTTCACCCCCAACCACCACCCGTCACCACTCTCGGCTCCACCGGGGTCCGGCCGCTCCGCCTGCTCAGCCCGGAGACACAAAGGCAGCCGGGCACTCTCCTCCCGGGCCCTCGGCCCCAGCTGACCCTGGCAGGGAAACCTCTGCCGTGCCCTTCCAGCTCTTCCCTGCGGGAGAGGAGGAGCTCCCTCCCCTCCTTCGCAGGGCAGAAAGATCAATGCAAGAAAAGCAGCAGCAGTCGGCTGCTTGGCAGCGTCCGGCAGGCAGCATCAGGGCGGTGCTTTGGGAGAGCTCAGGAGAAGAGCTGCCGTTCCTTTGTCCCAAACACCTCCAAGGAAGGAAACTCGGAGCAGCTCTTCTGCTTGGCGCCCGCCGTCCCCTCCGCTCAGGAATAGCTGAGGGGCATCCTCCTCCACAGCCCCCCGCACAAGCAGTTCTTGATCCAGCGCTGCTCCCACTGTTTCACCGCTGTGACTTTGTTGGGCGATTTCAGCATCGTCACACAACCGCACCTGGAAAGGAACCGAGAGATACAGCCAGGCCCAGGAGACACAAAAGCCCAGGAAAAAGAGCCAGCGCTGCTGGGGCGCCTGTGCCACCAGGCAGGGAGCAAGGAATCTGAGAGGGAAAACAGCTTTTGTCATCTGCAGGTGATGTTTGTGAGCGCTAAAAACCAGCTGAAACCACGCGAGCAATTATCTGAAATGGAGAGGTTATCTCGGAACAGAAGGCTGTCTTCAAGGCAACAGCCCCCAGCTGCTATTTATACATAAAACAGCAGACAGCCATCTTGTGAAAATGATCTGCTACAGAGACTTTCTATTAAAACCAATAATTAAAGCTAATTCAATCACATGATTAGATGGATGTTTGCTCCCTGCACCATTATTTTGAAATCCAGGCTCTTTTGTGAGGGTGGATGAAGAGGGTGGCACAAAGGGACTTAAAACGCAGGCCTCGTTTGAAGGACAACCCAAAAATGGCACCACGGATACTGCGATTACTTCCTCTCACCAGCTCCTCTCCGCGAACACAGGTAGTTTTATTTAAAGACCAGACCTGCAAAACAAGCTGAGGATCTCTCAGCACTTACAAAGACTCCTACGAGCCAAATTCTGGTCTCCGTTTACCTGTGCAGTCTGACTGCTCTCAGATTGTTTTGTTACAGCAGAACCGGATCTATTCCACGACACACAGCTCAGCCCTCAGGTGAAACGCAGTTCAGTCACTGGCACTGATGAACGTAGCTAATTCGCACAGAGCTGGGCTTACTTTGTGCCGAGCAAAGTAGTAAGATTTTTAAGCTAACAGCCACGCTGCAATGACCCAGCAGCGGCTATCTCGAGGCAGCGACGCTGCTCTTCAACAAGCACTTTAAGGATCTCGGTCTCCCAGGGTAGGGATGCCTTAAACACAACCACAACTGCTTTCTTCCAATGCAGGGGGCAGTGCCGTACGCCAAAAGCCTCACTATAGAGGCAGCATTTCCTCCTGCAGACACAACTAACGTGAAATGTTACTGGGATGCCAGCTAGGACGGTAAACAGAGACCGAAAGAGCTTTTGAATGACAAAAAGACCAGTTTGAGTTTCTGCCAAGACCTCCTCTGCACTGCAGGGACTGCGCTTGCAGCGCTTACCTGGTACACGACTTGCACTCCTCTGTTGGGTACGCTCCTAAATGAAGCCGCCTCAGATGATCGATTTTGGGCTGTCCAGGCGCCCTGGGGAGGAAGAAGAATGGGAACTTTCTAGAATATCGCTTTCTAAAAGCTGTTTCCAGGACAGTGAGCTGCATTTCAGTGGCCAACATGACACAGGCTTTGACTACCTCATCCATCCAGCGCCACTCAAGGCCACACTGACACGAGCCTCATCACAAACCAGCATTTCCCCCCGCTCCGTTCGCCATCTCTTTGCAATGCTTTGAATTCCCAGCCCATCGCAAGTTAAGAAATGAATTCAAGCAGAAAGAACAAACTGCTCTTGGGTCACACCAGCAAGTGGATGAGCCAAAACACACAGGCGTCCCAAACACACTGACCTCTCAGAGCTGTAAAGAGATCCCAAAACCTCCGGACACCCTCTTCTCACCACACCCCCATTCGTTTCAGGCCTCTGTACCTGACAAAGGCATCAAACTGGGAAGAGACGGTGTGACCAATGAGCCCAGGAGCTTTCCCAAACTGCAGTCGGACAAGCTGTTTGTTCTGCAGCTTGCTGATAATGCCATCGTTGATGGGCAACCAGTCAATATTGGGAATGAGCAACTGGCTAGGTAGGAGGCAACATTCGTCTATCAGGGTATCATCTGGCTCCGTTATGTGATTCTCCTCACGACCTGCGTGGAAAATGAAGCAAAGAGAGAGAACCAGCATGATCTTTAAACTTCTCATTTAGAGATGGAGAGAATTGCGTGCAGTCTCCTCCTCCATCCGCCAACACAGCACAGAAAACAATAAACTTGGCAGCTGTACGTGCCCTTTCTAAACACGACAGACCCACTCAGAACTGACTCCCCGCAATTATTCCTTTCACACACCATCCACGTTAAGGCAGGATTCTTTTGTTCAGGGAAACTGGCAAACACTTACAGCACAGCCAGAGTTTCGTTAGGAGCCTGAAGAGGAGGGACATGCTGTCCTGGGTGTCAGAGGTTGCCGTGTAGACGGGGAGGCAGCTTGGCTTCAGCAGTCCCCAAATCCGGATCACCACCATCAGCTCCCTGAACATGCCCAAGGAGGCCCCGTCTCGCAGAAAGCTGTGTCCCGGCCGCACAGGGGAGCCCTGCGGAGGGGAAAACCAGCTGAGGTTGGGACTCACGCAGCCTGCCCGAACCACTGCTCTGTTTTCAGTACACTCCTTGTTGTCTGAAAAGCACAACAGCACCACACAGCCCGCAGCGCTCGCTGCCGGAGGACGCTGCGGAGGTCAGAGGTATGCAGAGGTTCAGGAAAAGCTTAGACAAGTCACGCAGCTACTGAGTCTGCTTCTCTGAAGGCAGCTGCCAGTCGCTACATCCCTCATGCCCAGACGGGCACAGAAGGGACCATTTTGTACTTCTGCTGTTTCTTACGTTCGTCCCCCAAGCGTCTGTTTTGACAGGAACACTGGGGTTGTCTGTGACGTGGCTGAAGCTACCCGAACACTGCTCACAGATGTTATTTTGCACCAATGGGTCTGTCCTCAGCACCCCAGGCTCTCACCTGGTTGGGAAGGCTGGCCAGCAGATAGAGCACAAAATCTCCCACCCACTGGATGAGCTGCTGCAGGGACTGCAACGTGGTCATCTCCAGGACAAATTCCTCTGTCTTCAGGTTAATCATCACCTTGTCAATGTCTGAAACAGAAGCAAGACATCTCCTGGCTCAGGAAGAAGATGGATCCCAACTTCACCCCCTGTCCCTGTGGTGCCACGAGAGCTCACCCTCCTCTTCCTCAAACCCAGGGAGTTACTATGAGACTCTTTACAGGGAACCTAAAAGGGGAACGATCTGATGCAAAACACTCAGAATGCAGTGCCCGATGTATGAGCAATCACTACCTATATCTGTGATCTTGGAGCAGATCTCGGTGAGTCGGTCCCCGGGACTCTTGTCCGGGGTGTTCAGGAAGTGCGGGCGTAGCAGCGATTTCAGGGTGCAGCTAATGGCGATCAGGAACAGCTTCGCATGGTAGTCACACACACGCGCTATCGTGCTGGAGGAGAGCTTGCAGAGAGATGCCTTCATGGCAACAATGCGTGTGGAGAGGACCTGATTGACAGAGAGACGCCAGGAAAAATACAGAAGTAAAGGCAGAATTAGAATAAGCTCATTAAAGCAAGCTGCTTTATTCTTTACTCTCCGTTTCTGCCACATGAATGACAGGAATAGCAGATACTGCTCTGTGCATGTGAATACTGCTCTGTGCATGTACAAACAGCGCTACTGTTCCCAGAATCTCTGCCAAAAATAGACTTTACCATCTCCCAAGAAGCTTCCAACCCATTAATTTTCGTGAAAATGAATACTGCTTAAACAGAGGTTCTTCACACCTCAAGTACCGCTTGAGTAGAGTATTCAGAGACAGCACAGCCAGGCAGTTAGAGCCCTCCGTCTTCTGAGCACCGGCAATTACGACTCCCTCCTCCCAGTCACCGAGAGCCCCCCACGTGCCCACCCTCTGCAGTACGCCTGGGAGCTCCCGCTGACCTGCTGCAGGGCCGCGTTCTGGCGCATATACTCTTCATGCAGCTTCTCCACCAGGTTCTGGACCATGTTGGGTTGGACGTGGAGAAGGATGTCCCACCAGTCGTAGCCAGTCACCATGCAATACTCCAACAGGAACAGCAAGTGACGGAGGGACATGTTCATGTCCAGCACGTGGCCCATGGAGGGGGAGATGCGAAGCATGCTCAGCTGAAGGGAGGAGGCGACAGAAAACCGTATCGAGAACTGGACTGAAAACATTCCAAAAAGCTGTAACGAAGCACAGGGCCAACTGCACCTCATTCCCAACCCAAAGATACAACTCCTGCAGTAACAGGATACATCTCTTCTTGTTTAACAGGGATCACACAGCTGGAAGTAACATTCCCAGCGTTCTTCTGAGTGCTCCATCGCCTCTTAGAGAGACAAAGAGCCCGGATGAGAAGAACTAACACACTCCCCCCATAACAGAGCACAGTACCTTCCCATGACTATCAATGCCAGCCAAGGCCAGAGACGTCCAGGAGAGCTGCATGGCTTTGAAATGAACCAGGGGACCAGCGGTTCGCTGCCTTTTGATAGCCTGTTCATCCACTGAGCGCTGGGAGGAAGAGCCGTAGAAGACGGCCATCATTTGCAAGGACAAGCGATGCACAATGTGGACACTGCCATCGTGAAAAGCCAAAGCCAGACCTGGGGAGAGAAGAGAACCGAGGCTGAGCAAGGAACTACTCCTGGTACAATCCAGACCTCGCCCAGAGGAGCTGCCGCCACTGACAGCCCACACGGCAACAGCACAGCACCCAAAAGGCTGCGGGCTCGCAGGCACAACCGTATCTTGAGGCCACATCAGCGTTTCAGAGATACACATCTTCCCAAGGAAATGAAACGGGATGGCTAGGAAGGTACCGAGGTTTTCCTATCAGCATTTCACATGGTTTGTTCTGAATTCTTCCTTCAGCTACACTTTAGAAGATGAAGAAGGTAAAGTTTCAGGCAACAGCTACATATTTAGGAGAAAGACAATAGAAACTCCTTACCTAATCCAGGGAAGAATTTGGTGTCATTCGCTACCTTCAGATCAGTATTGGTGAGGGAGATTGGCAACTTGGGCAGAGCCACAGCCGAAACCCGGTCCAAGTCATTGGTGGCAGAAAGAATTCGCCATTTCAGTATCATGGGTTGCTTGTCTCCAACTTTGAAAAAGAAGCAAGTAAGTGAGACACCTCTCCCCAAAGAGATCCGATAACACCCGCCCACCAATTTCTGCCCACACTCCCCCTCCCCAAACAAGTGGATTACAGATCAAGCACTGAGTATTGGTTCATTCCACCAGACCAGTATGTTTCTCTCATGCTTCCCTATTTTTTTCTGATCTCAGTAATTGTACAAACAATGACTTGTTTAGCTAAGTCCCTTTTGATGGAAGGCTCTGCTGGTAGTGATCAAGAAAATCCTTATGTACAAGAATCCTTTATATTTCACTGGAAGAAACCGCATAGATTTGATTTTGTTATATTTCAAATCAGGTGGAAAAAACATGCAGACCGGATAGCGTGATGAAACTAGCCCTGCTGTACGATCTTTTTCCTTTAGAAGGCTCAGTGTGCTTGGTTCGCAGCGGGAAGAGCAGTTGCACAGCATAACACAGAAAATGTCTTTCATTGAGTGAAAGTAACAATCAAACCACTTCCTGGAAACCAGCAATTTGTTGCCTAAGATGCAAACAGATGGAATCGAGCATGTGACTGAGAACACCTGAAAAATAAATACGGGATTCTGGATAATCCCATATATGCGATAATGGATGTGAGAACCCGTCTTGCATTTTCACTTAGACCTTCCTCCTATTTTTAAGAGTATCCAGTGCAGAAACTCACCCACAGGGGAGATTTGCTGAAAGATATTATTGACTGGCAAGCCCTCTTTCCGCAGAGACCAGCACTCCACGATGCTGCTGTTTTGGTTGGAGGCACAAAGCAACACCTGCAAAATAGAAACCCATACTGCAACCGCACACACAAACTTTACAATAGGAAAAGACACTACCCCGTCGCAGTTTCCGCCCCTCTCTCTCTCCTCCATTTTGAGGATCCTTCTCCTAATTAGTTTATATTCCACCAGTGAAAAGCAGAGGATTGTATCAGCAATACGTAACGGTGAAGTCCCTAGTTGCAGCTAGAAGGAAAGAGAGGCAGAACTCTGCCATGTGCTATCACAGCCTGTGCCTCTCCACATCACAAACGATCTCATCTCTCACACGCCTGTGACCTGCTGGTGTCACTCACAGACATCGTAAACTAGATGTAAAGGAAAGGGCAGGAACTGAACTGGCTTTGAAGCCAGAGCAGACACTGTGTTCTCCAACAAGGCACTCCGTCCTAACCAGAGGAGAGAGAAGGGAGGTTAGGCTTCATTGAATCACTTAGCTTTCCAGAATCGTATTATGAGTCCCCTGACAAATAGAGTTAAGCTACTAAATTAAGTCACACAGACCAAGAGCTCTAAGTGTTCTGGAGAGGGGCTGCTTTGAAGCTGAGACCTTAAGATGAAAGACTTCACATCCCAGAACCTCCCGGACAGCCCAGCAGAGCTCCCCTAACAACCAGTGCCAGATCCAGAAAATAAACAAAGCAAAGCGTAATCAGGCTAACGAAGGACAGGGCTTTTCCACGAACTGGAGGGCTCGGCCATTACAGCCCCAGACCTTTTAAGTGCAGCCTGCATGACAGCGAAGCTGAACTAGCAGCACTTCCAGAAACAGCAGCAAATAATGCAAAGGGCATTGCAGGACGCAATCGTTCACCTCCAGAACCACGTAGGGAAGCCAAAGGTGGAGCAAACAGCTCTTTCCTTGCTATTCACTTAACTCCTACTTGCTTTACAGCGTATGCTCACCTGCTCTGACATGTCCCGGGCAAGGAATTTCAGGTGAGTGATTGCTGGGTATTTGTCTTTGCGGGCAGGGTCCGTGGTGCAGCGCATGAAGAGGGAAGGCAGGATTTCGGTGTCAATTTTGCATTTCTCGTTCACCACACTGACACAGACTTTGTAGAACTGGACAGGGGAGGTGCTGCTGCCATCTGATGTGGCCACCACGATGTTCCCCCCACCAGTGAAGGCAACATCTGCCAAGGCAACGCGACAGCGGAGGCGGCACAGGCTCTCTGTGGACGTCAGCACCTGCCCGTTGGGCTTGAGGAGAGAGACCGTCACCAGCCCACTGATGGTCACAGCAATCCAGCCCTCCATGGGCTTCCCACCAAACAGCGTCAGTGACGGAGAGAACTTGACCCTGGAAAACTTCTCACCAAAGTTCGATGCTCCAGACTGCGAACAAAGGTCAACAACACAAAGACATTTGCACCCGATATATGCAGCGCGCTCACGACTGCAGAGCTCTCCTCGTTAAGTCACTGCAGTGCGGTCTCCAGAGTCAGATGAGGGCACCGAGCTCACACACCCAACTCTGCTACGTGACCCTGGAGAGGCCCCTTTGCCCCCACACCAGGGCAGTTCCAGCCACGCAGGCGGCAGCAGGAACGCGCCAGCCCCTCGCAAAGCTCTCCGAACACCCCAGACACAGAGCTCCCACCTCACTCCTGTGGACTGAACCTGGAAGACTGACACTCCCTCCCCCTTTCTGGGGCCAAATCCAGTTGCAACACCAACCCGCTGCACAACCCTTTACGTCCCTGTGCCTCGGTTTCTCCAGTACTAAAGAGAGGGAAAGGCTTCTCTCTGTAGGACACCCTGAGAGTTAACGTTTAAAAAAACATAAGTAGATAACTTCTTGGCAGACTTGCTCTTTTTGAGTCTGACAGAATTAGACACGTTTCTAAACAAGCAGCTTATCTCTGTACACATACGGCTCCCGTTTCCAAATCCCTGGATCAAACCTCAGGACCTTGAATGTGTTTCTTCTGAAATACTACCGGTAGGCAAAGAAATGCTTTTATCTCCATTTTACAGCCAAGGAAACTGAAGCACCAGACTAAGGAAGACACGTTTAAAGCACCAAGAGAAACAGGCATCCAACCCCCGTTGAAATTCAGCAGGAACTGGGAATCTCGACTTTTCTTTTTGACTGGAAAACATCCCCTACTTGACTTGCCCAAGGCCATGGAGGAAGCCCAGAGCAGAGAGAAACACAGGTGGGGGTTTCCCAAGTCCTTTGCTAACCACCCAGTCCAGCCTTCCTGACCGGATCCCCTGCAGAGCTGGGACAAACCTTTTCCACGTGCAGAGCCAGCTTCACGCCATTGTGCAGCCAGGACAGGGCCACAACCGGGTCCCCTTCCACCATACTGCCCACGGTGTTCTCCCAGCTGTTGGCCAAGTGATCGGTCATGCTCCAGCACTTGATGTGACCGTCTGCATCTGCCGAGAGCAGCCTGGAGCCTACAACAAGGACACCTCGTAAGAACCAGGAGGTACAGCCACAAAAATCGACCAAGAAATCAAACCAGCACAGTTTGAATGGAGACAGCCAATTCATGGCTGCGAAGCAACAGACAAACCCCCTCTCCATGACAAATCGTACACCATCATTTCAGGAAATGCACACGCATAAACGGCGGGACAGAGGGGTAACGAGAAGGGATCCAAGCTCACCTGACTGATCCCACTCCAAACAAGTGATGACTTCAGTATGGCCAGAGTTAACGGAATAGACGTCCCACGGATGCTCGGTGTCAATGATATGGACCATATGGGTGAGATCTGCACGAAAAGAGAAGTGAATCACTGTCCCTGGTTACCAGCTGCCCAGCTGGCATTTCTAAACCCCCAGAGCCTCAGCTGATGCAGGGGAAGACAAAAAATATTTTCCATCAAGCAATTTTGGGAATGATAACAACTGTCCTTGGCAACTCAGGCGAGGTACCAGATACCAGCGCACAGCTTGCTCTGGCGTAGCAGAGCGAGAACCACTTGCCAGCGAACAAAACACCAAATAAATCTACAAAATGGAAGGAAAAGAACGAGCACAAGTTCCCTGTGTTGATTAGCACAAGTGAGAGATTTTAGGGTCAAAGCAGAGCACAGGCCGTCTGGCCCAGCGGTTCCTGATGGCAGGACTTGCCTAAACGCATTGGGAGTTTCCAGGAGATGTTACCCAACCTTCCACAAGCACGCCGTACCTTTTTCCTCCTCATTTTTGAGGTCTGTGGTGAAGGCGATGAGGTTCCGGCAGGACCACGCGCACACTAAGGGAATGGAAGGGCAGTGGTTGCTTTTTGGCTTTTTCTCCCACTCGCAGACATAGGCCAAGTCCATCGCGCCACTGGCCAAGCCCTGGGACCTCGCAGAGAGGGAAAAGGCGCTCGCTCCTCCCTGGAAGCAAGAAACAGCCAATTCCGCGGGTCACAGGCCGCAGGCAGAGCCCCGGTGACACCGGCGCCCCCACCGGGACCCGCCCAGGCCCCGCCGCGCCGCACCCCCGGCACCCAGGGGAAAAAGGGCAGCAGCCCCCTGCTCCCAAGGGGCAAACGGGGACCCCAGCCCGCG